TAAATACTACGTGAAACAGTATGTAGTGTGCATACCTTCTAAATCTTTGACCATACATATCTATTGTGTACTATTTTTTTTAAATGTTTATGTAAACCAGTATGCAGTATATATATATGTATACAATATGTAGCATGCATACCATCTAAATTATTCTGAATATACATGATACACTGTATGCTATTTTTTAAAATAAAATAGTATGTAAAACATAACTATCTTTCTGACTACACACAATACGCTGCACACTATTTTTTATAAAATAGTGAAACAGAATGCAGTGTGCATACATCTAAATATTTGTGAATAATCATGAAATACTGCATACTTAAATGAAATAGCATGTGAAATAATATGTAGTATGCATACCATCTATTTTTTTCTGAATATACTGCGTGCTATTTGTATAAAATAGTATGTAAAACAGCATGTAGTGTGCATACTACACATGATAAGCTGCACACTATTTTTATCAAATGATAATAGTGTCCACAGCTACATTGCTGCCATGATTTTGTTGCATTATGTTCAGTGCACGTCATCCAGTTATGATCACAGATGTGATTTCATCTCAACATTCGTCAGTCTGACCCAATAACCAGTCAAGCACCAAATTAAAATCACATCATCATGATTTCAGTCTGTCACAGTAGAAATGAAAGGTCAAGTGCTTTGTGGCATACAGCATTTCTTGCAGTGTGCACTATACGTAAACTACACATTTCAGCCAATCTTAGTGCATACTCAGAGCATGCAGTGAAGAAACAGACACAGTATTCTAGTGCACTACTGCCGGAGATCATCTGAGGTGGAGGAGTGTGCTCGGATGGTCTGTAGGGGGCAGCACTGAGCGCAGAGGGTGGGACACATTACAATTCACACTTAATCAAGAGCACTGCAATGATAACACACTACTAATAAGCGTTGCCGAGTGAACACTTGAACACTTGAAGCGACCGCAATCACGTGATATTTAGCCACTGGGGAACCCCGCCAAAAAACCTGTATTTACCCCCGGAACGCGATGTTTGACGGGGGACGCGGTCGGGCGGGTTTTGTTGTGAAAATCTGGCAACCCCGACACTACTGTAACGCCCACGAGGACACTGCATACATCTGTCTCTATACACTTAAACCCTAAAAAGAAACGTTTACAGTGCTAAAGACACATTTCGAACGACTTAGCCCTCAGAGTGTCTAGTCTTGACTTACCGGAGGCGTCGGGCCTCAGCGCGTCTCTGTCGGTCTGCGCAGTCCGGGAGCTATCGCTTCATCGGGCATTCTCACTGTCCTCAGATCAGTTCTGTCAGGATCACGGTCCTCACACGAGCCAGTGATGCGCTGCTCTTCATCACTGGCTCATCAGAAACGGCGAAACTCCTCGCTTTTATGAATACCTCAGCGCACGGTGCGTGCCGCTCCGCGTCCTGCGGCGGCTGCTCCTCCGTCTTCAGTCCGCCTGTCGCTGCGCTCCGCTCGGCCCGCGCTCGCTCGAGTCTCCGGCGCTCCGCTGCCGTTTCCAGGGTAACTAACGCGCGGATTCCCGCCGGCGCTCATCGTTCGCGCGGCGGGTTCGTCATGTCGCCGATGTTCATCCCGTTAGCGTTACTCCATCGGGGAAACAAATGCGATATTCAGCGCGACGGTTAGACGCGAGCCAGGACTGATCCTGCGTGGGCGGACCGCGCGCGCATCCTCCTCCTCCTCATCTTCATCTCACACCGACAGAAATAAAAAATAAATAATAAGAATAAAGAACCACGCCGCGCTTGCGTCTGACAGACTGGAGAGATCTGCTGCACCTCTAACAACGGCCGCGCAGTGTTTAAATGCAAACGTCTTTAAGATTTAAAACTTCAGCAACTGTCAGAATTCAACGGTCTGTCGGAGTGAGCGGCGGGAGTGGCGCGCTTACAGAACGACCCGGGTTCGATTCCCGCGCTGGGACGGGTTTTATTTTATTTTTATTTTTTTTAAATGATCAGTAAAATAAACTCGGTGTCATTATATATTAGTGATTGATTAATAGCTTCAACGGCTGTACATTACCTGATCCACACAAAAAATGTCTCAGGACAAACAGTTATTTTATTAAAACGCAAAGATAACTTACTCTTAACGTGACGCCGTCTAGTCCCATCCTGTGGACGCTTTCGCGTTACACACATCAGCAAATCTTTCGAGTCAGTAAAGAAAAGTGGAAAATATGACTTGCGGGAACGGTTTCATCAAGTTTTTAAATTCATAAGAGAACCTATCAAAGTTGTGAATAACACACACTCACACCAGAGACGAGCCCGAACTCGGCGCACACACCCCCACTCAGAGCGCCGCGCTCGCGATGGTTCGGTCCGCTGCCGCGCTACACAACGCAGCATGGAACAATCCACCCGGCGCACGGGGGAGAGTTGGCTGGTGGCACAACGACTTACAGTTTCCATGACAACACAAGCCTTCAATCTGTGGATGGCCGTCCTCCATATTAAATAAGAACGAGTATAAAGCAAAAGGAACAATAAAGAGAGAGAGAAAGATGGTCGGCCAAAGTGCTTTCGCCCCCCCAGCCATTGCTTAACACACAGCTACAGCGAGCTGTAATTATTGTCATGGTTACCAGCAGAGAGGCTGTGTGTGTGTGTGTGTGTTTCAGCTCCTGAAATACAATCACATATATCTGTGTTAAACAAACAGCATTCAAACTCGTATACAGTAACAGAATTTAGCATGTTTATGTGTAAATATGTGTTTAAGGATGAATATAAATATATGAACATGTAAATACCGCAGGAGGACCTCCTGCTAAGCATGAAGAGGCTGGTATTCACACATACAGTGCACATGTATATTTCTGAACATTTGAAGTCACACAGAAAGCTACAACAACAACAACATACTGACAGCATCTAAACATGAACCCTTTTATAATGCATACAAACAACTTTGGAGACGTGCCAATGTTTACTTTCAGATTAATAGAATATTAAATTCACAGAGACTTTTGCTAACTACTTTCAATGAACAACCGCTATATATATATATATATTATAAACGATATTTATAACAATAACTATAAAGATATAGGCATGATGACACCAAGAACGATAACTATAACGATAAACGTTAACGTTAAAGGCATGCTGACACCAAGAACGATAACTATAACGATAAACGTTAAAGGCATGTTGACACCAAGAACGATAACTATAACGATAAACGTTAAAGGCATGTTGACACCAAGAACGATAACTATAATGATAAACGCTAACATTAAAGGCATGTTGACACCAAGAACGATAACTATAATGATAAACGTTAAAGCCATGTTAACACCAAGAACGATAACTATAATGATAAACGTTAAAGCCATGTTAACACCAAGAACGATAACTATAATGATAAACGTTAAAGCCATGTTAACACCAAGAACGATAACTATAATGATAAACGTTAA